TTTTATCATATTTGCTTTAATATTATTACATCTCCAGTAAAAGTGCTTATAAAATATTACATGTTATTATAATAATAAGAATTGAAAGTATACTGTAAAATACTTTATTTTAGCTTGGAATTAATTTTCGTTATTTTTGCTGAAGGAATGATTCAGTGAAAATAAAATCCAGCGAATATATCATTTTTCTTTTCAGCGACAATTTATTCCAGGAGAATAAAGTATCTCACAGTATGTACATTTCATTTTTAGTTAGTGTCAGTGAACCCACTGTCAGTATTGACCCTTCGTATTTGAGAGTAAATGAAGGTGATAAAGTAGAGTTCCGATGCACAGCAACTGGCTTCCCCCCACCGCAGTTGGAATGGACAGGTGGACAGGGCGGCGTATTAAGTCTAACACATACATTTGTGAATGGATTGTTCACAATCGAGGAAGCAACGAGATCCGATGAGGCTGAGTACTTCTGTAAAGCGACCAATGATGTGGGTACTGCGACTGTCAGAACAGTGCTTTATGTTGAAAGTAAGTTTGTTTTTTAACTAGCAGAAATGATTCTATTAAAATTAGTTTCCATTAAAATTTCTTTCACCAACATGTCATGTTATCAATATATGTCACTAATATATGTCATGTCACCAATATATGTCATGTCACCAATACATGTCATGTCACCAATATATGTCATGGCACCAATGCATGTCATGTCACCAATTCATGTCACCAATACATGTCATGTCACCAATATCACCAATACATGTCATGTCACCAATACATGTCATGTCACCAGTCAGTGTTTCTACATTGCTAGAGAACATGACGCGTAAGAAAGTTTAATTGCCTGTGCCCGACAATAAAATATTTATGTACACTATTAATGAGTAAGATTCATTTAGATCAAGGTTCAGTTTTCTGATAAATTCTCAGCTTTATTCTTATTCCGACGTAACACTAAAACATGGATGGATACTAAATAAAGTTTTTATTTCTCACTCAGTTTCGGCATCACCGAAGGTCACCATTGATCCCCCAACATTGAGCGTTACAGAAGGAGACCAAGCAGTCTTTCTCTGTACGGCTACTGGAGATCCTACACCCACTGTTGCATGGACTAAAATGAACATGCCCCTGCCATCTACAGCTAGAGAGAGAGAAAATGGATACCTCATAATATCAGGGGTAAGTAAGCTACTACCATGTGTTGTATCTTTGACTTTGCTATGCGTTTCTTGTACTTTTATTCATTGAATTAGGGTTACATAATCAGTGTCATGACCATGACCTTACAGTATTAGCTAATCACGTTACGTCATGTATGTTGTCATGAACTGATCACGTGTTATGCAATAAAAAGTGGCACTAACCTACAACCCGTTAACTTGTGTGTGTGTCTCCCTCCTTATTCTGATTAGTGAATTTTCACGTAATTAATTAAGTTTACTTTGTAGCAACGAGCTACAAAACCATGGATTAAAATGTACATCTCACAGTGCTGCAATTGTCAAGAATTTAATTTTTTTCTAGTGTGTTTTCGAAACTAGATTACGAGAAACTAATTATTCATGTCACTGTAGGCGACAGTTAATGAGGCTGGGGATTACAGATGTACCGCTAGTAATGGTATTGAAACGGCTGAAGATGTGGCACGCCTTTTTGTCCTCAGTCGTAAGTTACAATTACTTATCATTATCATTGAATATCAGTCCAAACTTTACAGAGTCCTGAAAAAGTTAATCTGGAAGAGGAGTAATCATCGTCTTTTCTGTGAAATGTCGCAGTGATCTATATGTTTTACAATTCAAAGTGTTCTTGGAAATCTGTGGCTAGCTTGTCTGTACCAGATCAGCTGTTTCTGTTTTTCCTTATCTTCATGAAACACACAATCACAGGTTGTTATATCACATTGATTGGCAATTTAAAATATTACATCATTTGCAAATAACATCCGTTACCTACCAGTATACTGTCGTATGTTTCAATGATAGAAACGAGACGGATTCCAAGTGTCAGCATTGAGCCAAACCGACAGATTGTGACTCAGGGAAGTACGGCCATATTACGCTGCATCACCGAGGGCGATCCAAAACCAAGTATTACATGGAGTAGAGCTGGGGGAGAACTCACTTCCAATCATCAGGTAGTCTGGCTTTTCATCTTTGATCAGGTTGCATTCATTTAATGAATGATTCATTTATGTTTCTTTTGTTTTTATGTTCGCTCACGCATAATCCAGGAACACACAGTGAACAAAAAACGATCTGTCCTGCCATAGTTTTTTCACAAACATAATAATTATTTTAATAATTTTATCTGCTGTAATGAAATAGTGTGCCAACTAGATTCTGAGAATATGTTCAACCATATTCATTCATGATGATTTAGATATGTTTATGTAAATACAGGCCTTTCTATGGTTATTAAAATAATATTTTTCTAATTCACTATAAAACAAATGTGATTTTTGGTTTATCCTTTTCACGACCAGACTTTAAATTTTTCTACACTTGATTTCTTGTATACTTCAATATTTCTGGAAATGAACCTTAATTTTGGAGCCAACAGACAAAATTTGAATCAATTTTTAGTTTTCACTCAAAAAATCGATTGATTTTTTCCCAATCTGCTGAAGGAAAGTGCAGACAGGATTATTTTATGAATTTGTGATGAAAATAGAAAACTGGTGGTGAAAAGGTTGTATCTGCTCCCATTGGTGATGTGCTTTCTTATAACAATGAGAATTAAATGTATACTATCTGCTTAATATACTATAACATTTTTCTGAACATCAGTGAATTTCTTTTAAATTAGTTTGGATAATAATTAATAATAATTAATTACAATAATTATTACAAAAATATTTTTTTCCTTGCCTGAAATTAAATTAAAGGGAAGGTACAAGGGTCTTCTTGTCTGTCTTGTTTTATCATCTTTGTTAACAATTGCTTGTGTCCAGGTTCACTCAAATAATTTTTTCCAATAATTTCCAAACTTATCAATCAATGTATAATCTGAAGTTCAATGTTGCTGTTTCTGGCACAAATATTTTTGGAAATATTTGTAAAAAAGGTGCCTTCAAATTCTGCATTGATTTTTATAGTCATTGCAATAGAACTTTGAATGAAAATCTTGATATAATAGATACTTTACCTTTAATAGTTTTTCTATGTGACAGTGTTGAAGTCATAAACATATCTGCGTACATAATGTGACACATGTCACCATCTTTGTAGATTCTGGACAATGTATTACGGATTGTGCAAG